TAAACATATCCAGGTGAGCAATACAGGCCCTCTGGGCCTCTTGTTATGCATAACATCATTTTTAATTTCAATGACATTAATGTTTTGTGACTTTCAGAATCAGCATCAAGTGGCCTTCACAACATTCGAAGCCCAATGGAGCACTATTGTTCTATATCGTCTGATAGTGGGTCAGCGGATGGGTCTAGGCAGCCCCCAGTTGGGGATTCAGCCCCGGTGTCCTTTAACAAGGGGTCATCAAGGTCACTACCAGCATCCACCTCACCACAAGCCCAACAGGACCCTGCTACATTCAGGTCTGAGCCAGCAGCAAGAGCTATACCACAAGTGATGGGAAATAACCCTGGTCAGGTGACTGGAAATAACCCTGGTCAGACGACTCGATATAACCCAGGTCACGTGACTGGATATAACCCTGGTCAGGTGACTGGAAGTAACCCTGGTCAGGTGACTGGATGTAGCCCTGGTCAGGTGACTGGATATAACCCTGGTCAGGCAACTGGTTATAACCCTGGTCAGGCGACTAGATATAATCCTGGTCAAGTGACCCGAAATTACCCTGGTCAGGTGACTGGATATAACCCTGGTCAAGCGACCCGAAATAACCCTGGTCAGGTGACCGGAAGTAACCCTGGTCACGTGACTGGATATAATCCTGGTCAAGCGACCCGAAATAACCCTGGTCAGATGACTGTATATAATCCTGGTCAAGCGACCCGAAATAACCCTGGTCAGGTGACTGTATATAGCCCTGGTCAAGCGACCCGAAATAATCCTGGTCAGGTGACTGGATATAACCCTGGTCAGGTGACTGGATATAACCCAGGTCAGGTGACTGGGAATAACCCTGGTCACATGACTGGAATTACCTCGGAACACCCAACAGCTCAGTTGATGCAACAAAGAGTGCCTGAACAAAATCAAGAACAAGCAGAAAGCTTTTCCTCTGAGAACATATTTTTTTCAAGTTATCAGCAGCAGCAACAGTATGACCCGTCGAATCAGCAGGGTGTCGTGATGGAGAACTATGTGCAGCCTGTTCCCAATCAAGGAGCAGTGAGTGTTAACACCAATGACAGTGGAAACTTTAGTACATATAGGTCAAGTGGTGTACAGTTCATCAGTCAGGACCAGCTGAGCACAGGATCGCCAATGGTTTC